CCCGACTGCGTCGCGCAGCCGGCGCTGCCGCCCAAGTGCGAGGTAGGTGCGCGCTGCCCCTGGCGGCGGGAAGCCTGGGGGCGCCGCGCCCCGAGCCCGGCCACCTGGACACCTGTGGGAATCACAGCACCTGGCGTGTGCCCCGGCACTGACCAGCCAGCTGGGGCGCTTCGGGTGCACACCTGTGCTCCCGGCCTCAGTTTCCCCATTTGTGAAATGAAGGGGTTGGACTCCTCCTGCCCCTCCCCACACTCTTCCCTAGCTCTGATGCTGGGCGGGGCTACACTGTCCTGGGTCACATCACCTCAACCAAGGGTCCTCACCGTCTCCTGGAGGAGGGGGGACTGCTGCCGACCTGGATGTCCACTCCCCAGCTCTTGCACGTGGCCATCGTGTGTGCGGGACATAACTCCAGCCGCGAGGTCATCACCCTGCTGAAGTCCATACTCTTCTATAGGTACAGCCAGGTGTCAGTGGCAGAGGGTTAGGAGTGGGGAAGGGTACAGAACAGAGTCATGGGCAAGTTACTGGGTCTCAGGGCTTCGGCTTCCTCATCTGTGACATAGGAACAGTGTCCCCTTCCTCCCTTAACAGGTGCTTGTAAGAATATCCTGGGCTGGGCAGGAAAAGCTCTTTGCAGAAGATGGTGCTTCCACCTCTGGGCCCCTCAGGGTGGGGTTTGTCCCATGTTGTTCCTGCTGGAGCCTCTCAGGCTTCCTCTCTGTCCACCCAAAAGGAAAAATCCACTGCACTTCCACTTGGTGACTGATATGGTGGCCAGAAATATCCTGGAGATGCTCCTCCACACGTGGATGGTGCCTGCTGTCAGGGTCAGCTTCTATGATGCTGAGGAGCTCAAGGCAGGAGCCCTGACCCCTCTGCACTCCCGCCCAGCTGTGCTCATCCCTCCCCCTCCCAGGGTATCATGGGGTGAGGGAGGAGAATCCCCAGTTCCAGCACACCTACTGAAGCTCAAATCCCTCACTCTTGGAGTTCACTCTGCGGATGTTCTGGCACTCATGGCCCCTCCTCTCCCAGCTCATGACCTGCCCTTCCCACCCACAGCCCCAGGTCTCCTGGATCCCCAACAAGCACTACTCTGGCCTCTATGGGCTGATGAAGCTCATGCTGCCTGGAGCCCTGCCCCCTGACCTGGCCCGAGTTATTGTCTTGGACACGGATGTCATCTTTGCGTCTGACATTGCGGAGCTCTGGGCACTCTTTGCTCACTTTTCTGGTGAGAGGCCTGGGACTGAGCCTGTCCTAGCCAGCCCCCCTCCCTGGCCCGTGGTCTAGCCCTGAATCCAGGTGTGAGGCAGCCTCGGGCAGCTCCCTCCCTCATGCCCTCCCCTCCCAGACAAACAGGTCATTGGTCTCGTGGAGAACCAGAGCGACTGGTACCTGGGCAACCTATGGAAGAACCACAGGCCCTGGCCTGCCTTGGGCCGGGGATTTAACACAGGTGGGGATAGTAGTGGGGGGGCAGGCAGGAGGGGTGGGCCATTGGTCCTCGGGCTCCAGGGGCTGGGCAGGACACAGAATGCTAGGAAACCCCCTCAGAAAGAATAGTGCTGTGGAAAGAACACTGGATGAAGAGCCAGAAAAGAGTTCCAACCTTGGCTATACATGCAGATGACTTTGGCCAACTCACTTGGTCCCCCTGAGCCTCAGTTTTCTCATCCATTAAATGGGGCTGATTTTAACAGCCCTGGGATTACTGAATCGAAAAGATGGTTATCGATGCCCCGCCTCTGTCCCCAAGAGGATTGACTGTTGACAGAGGTAGTCCATGACCACATCTGAAGTCAGAAAATACCAAGAAGTCAAAAAAGAAACATTCATAAACACCTTCATGATCCCTGGCCCCAGGAGCTGGCCATCCCTGGTGGGCATGACAGCCTGTCCCTGTCGGCAGGTGTGATCCTGCTGTGGCTGGACAGGCTTCGGCAGGCTGGCTGGGAGCAGATGTGGAAGCTGACAGCTCAGAGAGAGCTCCTCACCCTTCCTGCCACCTCCTTGGCTGACCAGGTCTGGGGAAACCTTGGGGGGGGGGCGGGGGGCCAGTTGGGGACTGAGGTGTGATGGCCATCTCTGCTCAGGACATCTTCAATGCTGTCATCAAGGAGCACCCAGGGCTGGTGCAGCCCCTGCCCTGCGTCTGGAACGTGCAGCTGTCGGACCACACACTGGCTGAGCGCTGCTATTCTGAGGCGTCTGACCTCAAGGCGAGTGAGGCAGGAGGCTGAGTGGTGGTCTCTCTATAGTCCCCCCATTGACACCCTCTCGGGTCCCAGGTGATCCACTGGAACTCTCCAAAGAAGCTGCGGGTGAAGAACAAGCATGTGGAATTCTTCCGCAACTTCTACCTGACCTTCCTGGAGTATGATGGGAACCTGCTGCGGAGACAGCTCTTTGGGTGTCCCAGCCAGTCCCCACCGGGGGCTGAGCAGGTGAGAGGGAGCCACCTTCCCTTGCCTTGGGGAGGTCCTGCCCCTCTCTGCTCTGGTGGGATCCAACCTTGTTTGGGGAACAAGTCATCCTGCCCCAGCACTGGTCCTTCTGTCCCCTGAACCCCCTCAGTGGGAGCAGGCCCTGGCACAGCTCGACGAGGACGACGCCTGCTTTGAGTTCCGGCAGCAACAGCTCATTGTACATCGTGTACATATCACCTTCCTGCCCCATGAGCCACCACTCCCCCTGCCCCACGATGTCACCCTGGTTGCCCAGCTCTCCATGGACCGGTGAGGGTGTGAGGACAGCCCCAGGGAGCATGGTGTGGGCTGGGTTGGGGGATTTCTGAGGAAGTTTCATCTGGTAACCTGATGCTATGTTAGTGAGATGCCTCTCCTTCAAGCAGTTCCAGAAGTTGGAGACATTGGATATGGTGGAAAGAGCATGGGCTTTGGAGTCATTCAGATGCTTGGAACTGTCCCTCAGTAGCTGTGGGACCAAGTCTTAATATCTCTGGCTCTTTGTTTTCTCATCTGTCAAATGAGACAGTGCCCACCTGGTGAGATTAAATAAGATGGCCTCAAAAAGTGCTTGGAAGGTGCTCAGGAAGTCACTTAAGGGGATGTCAGCAGCAGCTTGCTTTGGGGAGGGTTTCCAGCCCTCCCTGAGCTCCTGGGCTGACCACCCACCTCACCCCAGGCTACAGATGTTGGAAGCCCTGAGCAGGCACTGGCCAGGCCCCATGAGCCTGGCCCTGTACCTGACAGACGCAGAGGCCCAGCAGTTCCTGCATTTCGTCGAGGCCTCCCCAGTGCTCTCTGCCCGGCAGGATGTAGCTTACCACATGGTGTACCGGGAGGGTCCCCTCTACCCTATCAACCAGCTCCGCAATGTGGCCTTGGCCCAGGCACTAACACCTTACGTCTTCCTCAGTGACATTGACTTCTTGCCTGCCTACTCCCTCTACGACTACCTCAGGTGGGCCTGGGGGAGTGAGAGGAACAGTACATGGATGGGTGTGCAGGGTCGGGGGCACCTATAGGACCCCAGGCCTTTCTGGGCCTCAGTGTCCTCTGAAAATGGGGTTTGTATTAGGCTGTTTCTCTGGGCTGCCACAGAGAGGAGGGGAGGCCGGGACTACTTCAAGTGGCAGCTCCACTTGGGTCTTGTGTCCCCTGTGGCATCTGTGCTGAGGCCATTGTGAGCATGGCCAGGCCCAGTACTATGGGCAGAGGCCCCACCCTTCCCTCCTGGTCATGGGTGCTGCTTCTCAGGGCCTCCATTGAGCGGCTGCAGCTGGGTAGCCAGCGCAAGGTGGCTCTGGTGGTGCCAGCATTCGAGACCCTGCACTACCGCTTCAGCTTCCCTACTTCCAAGGCGGAGCTGCTGGCCTTGCTGGACGCTGGCTCTCTCCACACCTTCAGGTAGGAATGGCCACTGCTCTGCCCCACTCTGTCCCCTACCCAGGAGCTCCTAGCCTTAGCCTGGCTCCCTTCCCGACCCTGCTGCACAGGTACCACGAGTGGCCCTGGGGTCATGCGCCCACAGACTATGCCCACTGGCGGGAGGCTAAGGCCCCATACCGCGTGCAATGGGCAGCCGACTATGAGCCCTACGTGGTGGTGCCGCGTGACTGTCCTCGTTATGATCCTCGCTTTGTGGGCTTTGGCTGGAACAAGGTGGCCCACATCGTGGAGCTGGATGCACAGGTGAGGAGGGCACCTCGTTGCCACCAGCTTCGATCTGAACACCTCTAGGTACAGGGAACTTACTATTCCTCTGCATGAAGGATTGCACCATTAGGCAGAACTATTAGAGTAAACCTGTCCCCAGAGCTGCAATCTTGCCCTCCCCAGGGGCCTATGACCCTCCCTCTGCCCCACCCCTACAGGAATATGAGCTCCTGGTGCTGCCTGAGGCCTTCGCCATCCACCTGCCCCATGCTCCCAGCCTGGATATCTCCCGCTTCCGCGCCAGCCCCACCTATCGTGACTGCCTTCAGGCCCTAAAGGAGGAGTTCCACCAGGACTTGTCACGCCACCATGGGGCTGCTGCCCTCAAATACCTCACTGCCTTGCAGCAGCCCCGCAGCCCTGCCTGAGCCATGCTGAAGCCCTGGCTCTCTCACATACTCCCTGCAGACCCTGCCTGCCCCCCACCCTCCCTGCTGTTTAAGTTATTTAAGGTCTCTGTTGGAAGGGCTGGGGTGGAGCGTCTGTGAGTGGATCCTGGGGTCCTCCTGTTGCTGCTATTCTATGGCTGGGGTTTAGTCTCCCTCTGCCCTAGCCGGTTTGGGGCTAGTTCCCCCATCCTCAATTTATTTTCATAATTAAAGTTTTTAAAAATTCCTTTCATGTTCCTACTGGTTTGGGGGATCAAGGGCTCTCTGGGGCATGAGCTAATCAGTGAGCGGGGGCACGCTCAGTTTGCCTGGAGTTGCACAGTCTGCTGAGTCCCTCCTAGACAGGGTGAGTCGGGGGAGGGCAAAGGCTGGAACTGATGTCTTACCCACCCTCCCCTGCCCCAAACCCAACACCATGAGGCCAAGAGACTTTATTTGGCTTTATTTAGTAAAATGTTAAAATAAATAAATACAAATTGATCAGCTGCTCTGTATCCCCCCCACCCCCTCAAAACAAAAACCAAACAAACAAAAACAAAAACTTTGAAGCACAAAACTCCAAATACAAGTTCTACCAAGACTGAAATCACAAAGGGCATGGACAAGAGACAGGATTGGGGTCTGGCTGGCTCTTCTCTGCACGGAGCTGCTGACCTCTGGCCTGCCTGTCCCGCCCTGCCTGACTGCAGCTCACCCTGGGCTGAGGACCAATTACATTGGAAGGAGGTACAGGAGCCAAAGGCTGCTGGGCGGGAGGGGGGGGGTAGAGTCCTTAAGGAGGAAGGACCTTGTGGGAGGAGGCTGCCAAGTGGAATTTGTGAGCCCTGCCCTCCCTTTACAAGAGTTATTTTTAAAAGAATTCTCACCCTGGCTCTCTGGAGGGGTGACCCCCAGCTTCCTCCCTTCACTCTAGTGGGAGGGCCAGAGGAATCTTCCCAGGGGTCACCCACTCCTTTCTTGGAGAGGAGCTGACACAACACAGGCTGCAAGTCAGGGTGAGAATGGGACTCTTGTTTCCTGCCAAGGGGCCTGGCTGACGGCTAGGGGTGAGGTCCACAGTTATTTATGCACAGCAAATTTGCCTCCATCCAACAGAAGCCAGGGGATCTGGAGAACCTAGGGCCTGGAAAATGTATCTGGCCACCTTCCATTCTACTGTCCTAAGAGCCTTTTGCTCCTGGGGTAAAAGTCTCCTAAATTCAGCCCTTTAGATAAATAAGAACCACACCCTAAAAGGGAGCGAAGGGAAGAAACCATGTGCGCGCGTGCACACGCACGCATTCGCTGGAGGGTTGAAGGGGGGAGCCCAAGGAGGCTCTGATGGCCCCAAAAGAGGAAGGAGCAGAAAGGTGGCTGCAGAAGCAGCTGTACATGCAGAGACCAAGGTGAGCTGCAAGCACGGCCACCCTCACGGGAAGAGTTGTGCACAGTTGCACCGATTCACACCGCCTATTGGGTCTGAGCCAAGAGGCAGCACAGACAGAGAGGCAGGCCCTGCAGGGAAACTGGGCCCCTCAGATGGTGCCAGCTGGAGGCTGTAAAGGCCATGTCAACAGGCTCTAGAGACAGGCCCCACACAGGTAAGGCCCCACCAGGGACTGTCTTAGCTCAGTCTCCCTGTCAGGTACAACTAGCAGGCTCTCCCTAAAGGGCCTGATAAGGAAGGAAGAAATCAGAACTCCAGATGAGCTCAGCAGAGGTGAGGCAAGACCGAGCAGGCTGCATGAAAGAAAAAGGACCTGCAGGCAGCAAGAATGTGTGAGGCAGAGAAGACAGCAACATGACCTCACTGCCTCCAGGGAGCAGCGCCTGATCAGGTACTGACAGTCAAGGGCCCAGCGGGCAGCCACTCCCTAGTCTCTGAAGTGACTGCAAAGCCAGCTGGCCTCAGTAAGTGGCTGTCAGCAGCAGAAGGAAAGGAGGAAAAAGGACGTGGAGGCAGCTTGGGTGGAGAAGCGTCATGAAAGTGCGTCTCAGGTAGTCACAGGCACCCTCAGGTCTGGGGGGGACAGAGAAGAGCTCTTCTCTCTTGGCAGGACAGTGAAGGAAAAGGAGATTGAGTAACCAGGGCCTTTTCTTTTTAGTAAAGCAGTGTTTGGGAATTTGAGTCCAGAATGTAGGTTTGGTGGGGCAGGGTTACATTTTGTACTCCATAGTAGCTGACTCACAAAACAGCTCATATCTGAACATTAGGAAGAGTCTATACCCCAACTTTAGGCAAGGCTGGAATGTAGCGGACACAGCTCACAGCAGCAGGCAAAACACTGGTCAAACCCTAGCCCTGTCCCCCCACCCTCAAGACTCCTCAGGCAGCTCCTCAGGGAGCAAAGGCCTCTAGTAATGATGGCTTCCCAACTTCTTCTTTTGAAAAAAGATAGGTATTGTGTGGCAACCCCCAGCCTATGGGCCCAGACAGGCCAAATAGGAGGGCTCTAAGACAGGGTGTGCAGCCTGCTGCTGGTCTGATCCTCCGCCAACTATTCCTTTAACTAGTCCAGGCATTTCCAAAGCTCCCTGACTAGACACAGCACCTTGGTTTCCATATGAGAAAAGGGGACTGTTCTCTGTCCCTCTCAATCAACATAGTAGCTGGGGACTGATTCCAAGGCCTGTCCTGTGCAGCCAGACTTAACCCCCTGACATCCCTAGGAAGATGAGTGAAAATGGCTGGTATGAATGAGACACATTTACTCTAAGAAGCATCTCTTCTCTGCTGCATTTACCTTAGCATCCATCTTGCCTCTCTGGGCCTAACTGGGTGGGAGAGAAGCTAATGGGCCTCTTCTGCTGTTCCTAGACTCTGGTCCTTCCTGGGTGGAATTGGGAGAGATGTTCCAATAGGGCCAGGGTGCACAGCCACTGCCTCTCTCCCATCAGCCAGAGGCTCACAATGGGCAAAGGTCTCCAGCGAAAGCACACATCCAACACAATCCATTTCCACAAGGCAAGATGAGAGAAATGGTCTGAGCCTCTCAGAACCATGGTTTTCCCAAGAAGGAGAAGCCACAACAGCCAAGCCAAGACAAGCACAGCGATTCTAGTCATGGGTCACCAGGAAGCTGTGGGTGGGCAGAGTGGAGTAAATCCCACCTCCAGTGCCTGGAGCCAGCAGGCAGAGAAAGTAGCTGGAGCTTCAGATTGCTTTTCAAAGGCAAGACTCCGCGGTCCTATCTCAGACACCACCACGTTCCCTTAAGACATCGCACTCCTGCTTTGTTCTTTCTAAGCACCAAGGGCTAATGCAGCCAGCCTGCACCCCCGTGCCCTCCCCACCAAGGCCAGGCTGCATGGGCACCACTGAGGTTCAGGGGCCATTTCCCACAGAGGTGTCCCCCAGGCACTCATAATGCTGGTGGCTGAAAGACCAAGAACAGCACCAAAGGAAGGGATTTTATTGAGGCACCAGCCTTTGCTCTAGCAAAATCTGAGGAGGGGATGGCCTGACCCAGTACACACTCCATGTGGGTTTCAAAAACAGGAGACAAGATCCCTGCACCAAGAAGAGAGGACAGTCTTTTCTGAGGAGTGGAGAAGGGTGAGGAGAGTCCCGCCCCTGCCCTTCCTAGAGACTGGCCCACCAGTCTAGAGATACACACAGCAAAACGTCATCATGATCAGCAGGTTCTGTGCTAAAAAATTATAACTACACGGCATATTTTCTCCAGTTCTGACACCTTTTTAATAGAAATCACTGTTTTTAGGAAACAAATAGCACTTTTGTAATTTTTTTTTACAATGTTTCTTTCTTTGATCTTAATTTAAGTAACACTAGGAAGACCTCAATATCTTTTATTTTCCTTTTTAATTTAAAAAAAAGTTGTTTTTTCCCCAGATACAAAGATTTTTGCCCTTGCATAAAAAAACAGTGCCCGAACGATGACACAAGGACTCACAAAGACTCACTGGACCTCACTGACACTATGATTCCTATTCTACCATGCAAGGTCTCGACTACCCTTAATTGGACTGTCAGCCTGAAAAACAGCTTTTCTATTCCTTATTTTAGTTTTTGTTACCAAAAAAGTAAATAAGCAACAAAATAAAACTTTCTTTAAAGAAAAAAAAAGACAAAAATAAAAAAAAGAGAAAAGAAATGTCTCCATTCAATTCACACACACCTGGGTCGCGTGCTGCTTCGCTTAGGATCTTCTCTTCTTATAAATATAGAAAAGGGATGGAGCTTGTTTTCAAGTAAAATCACTGATCCACCTTTTTTCCTTCCTGAACACACACACCCTTCTTCCCTGCCTCAAGCGAGGGCCAGCAGGGCCTGGCTCTGCTTGTTCTTGGAAAGGGAACATAACAGGATCACCACAGGGACGTGCAATTCACCAAGCAAGGAAGGAAAGGGCTCGCGAGGCGTTGGGAGTGCTGGGGGTACCCACGGCAGGAGCAAGCACTCAGGAAGAAGAACCTAGGGGCTGTTCTTGGTGTCCAGCTCTCCTGGCACTAGGCCCTCCTCGACAAGATTAAATACTGCTTATTTGATATACTTTCCCACCCCTTGGTCCCTCCCTGCCCCTCCCCTTCCCTCTTCTGGGCACTGGGGTTGGTTAAATCTCAATTTCCTTTTTTTGGTTTTATAGTAGTGAGAAAGTTTAGAAATAGGAAAGCCCACACACTCTTTGGACTTGTCTTCTCTACCTAAACAAACCTCTCTGGCAAATAAGGATCTGAAACCTGCTTTCCTCCCTCCGCCCGTCCCTGCTCCCCACCCCACAAAACAAAAACAAACCCATCGTGGCTGTGGAGGCTGCTGCAGGCACACACTGGTGTATAATAGAGAGAGTAAATATATTATTTCACTTGGCATGGTGCTGGCAAAGAACCTCCAGCTGGCACTATTTCATGTAACATGGTCCAATCTTTGCATGTACACACAGAATAAGAAGGATCAATTGGCAAACTCTAGTGCCACCTGGCACAAGCATCTTCTCTCTCTCTGGAACCAAAGAACCAAAAGAATTCTGCACTTTCCAGAAGAAATCCGGCTTTGCTTTTCTAGAGTCTTCAGTGTTTTGCCTCTCCTTGCCGCCGGGATCCCGTGGCTTCTCCTAGAGGGGCTCTGTTATTTAGTCTCTTCCCCCTGGTTACAGTTCACTGTGCAGCTCTGGGAGGATGGGGAGGGGGCCGGTGTGGAGGTGGTGGCATTGGCAGGGGGGGTACAGTCCGGGCCATTGGAGATGGCCCCCACAGTGGCCTCAGAGTCTACAGGTTTGGAGAGGTCAATGCCGTGGATGAGGCGAATCAGTTGTTTTACCTTCTCCAGGGAGCTATGCATCTCCTTCTGCCGGGCCAGGATGGTATTCTTCATTTCCATGCATTTCTGCAGCAAATGAGAAGGGCCTTGGCACTGAGCCTCCTACTTTTCTAACAGGCCTGGCATTCCCTGAGGAGAGGAGCACTCTCTCTCTCTCCAGTAAAAGAATCCCCGCTGGCTAGCATGCAGCCCCTAGACCTTCCTCTGCTCCACACTGGAGTGGGTGGCTACTACCTAAGGAAAGGGGGGCCCAAGAGGTGAGGCAGACAGGGTGAGTGGGACAAAAGCCAACTCTACTTGACACTAGCACTTTAAATCAAACTTATATTACCACAGTAATACTACAAAAATCATTAGGACAAAAACATCCGCACAGCTGACCTGAAACTGGTTTGGATGGGTTTTGGTATGCTTCTGACATGCTAATAATGGCCTTCAGACTGGACTGAGCTCTCCAGGGTAGAAAACAAGCCAGTGATAACTGGATTCAATTTGAATTTGAAGGCCTACTGGGAATCACTAGGTAGGCAAGGATTGAGAGGCAGGGCCTGGGATGGACCAGTGACATTTAGGAGAATCTAAGACAGCCCAATGCCAAAGGACTGCAGTCAACAGAAGGCTTTCTCCGAGGTCATGGACTTACAGTCTTTTGTCCTTTTGCCCTCAACTGCCCACACTTGCTAGCTTCTATTTTAGGCAGGGAAAGAGATGGTAAATCTGCATGCCATGAGTAGACATGGTGAAGAGGAAAAGCAGGTGAGTGGGACAACTCAACTGCCTCTACCACCTGGTGTCCAAAGAGGGCTGAGACCACCTCACTCCAACAAGGGTGACCTACTCAACAGAAAAGGAAACTTGCTCCTTGCTCGACAGAAGCCTCTGTACCCCCGCTGCAAATACAACCCTCTTTCCCACCTGGACAAACCAGTTGACTTACTTCCAACACTTTCCTCTAGAAACCCCTCTTCCTCTCACTGGTCAGGACAACTGGGAAATGCAATTAGCATGGTGTGGAAGAAAGGGAGCGAGGGAAAGGCCATATGGTTGGACCCATTAGCTCAGGTGACTAGAAAGAACCACATCAGGGGACTTGGTCTGTGTCACCCAGCATCAGGCAAGGCTCTACACTCTACACTCCTCCCCAACACTGTAAAGAATATGCAGGGGTGGTGGCTACACTGTTCTAACTGCTACTTTATCTTTTCAGACTAGAGACAGAAAATCCTCTCATATTAAATCCCAGATGTTCCAGAGCTTGCATAAGGCCCCAGATACCAAGTGGCCACCTGCACCTGAGGGCTGAACTCTAAGTGGAAGGCAAACTTTGCATTTGCCCAAGTCAACCATGTTAATGAACTGAAGGAAGGATATGCACCAGCTGCTGGGCCCACCTGAGCACATCCACTGAGGGTGAGGGGACTTACACTTATAGAGCTGCTGAGCTGCTTCACCTTCTGCTCTAGCTGTTCTCGTTCTTGTTTCAAATCTGAACTCCATTTAAGTAACTTCTGTTTCTCTTCTTCTTTTGCTAAAAAAATAAAAATAAAAAAAGCAAAAGTTTCTAACAATAAATTCTTTGAAAAGGCTACTGTGCTCAGAATACTTACCAAAGAGAAAATTCTCCCCAAAGCTCCCCCCTGAGCCCCACAACCAGTGCCCAGAACCTGCCCACCTGGAATTTTCCTTTTTCTGTGTATAGGTATGCTAAGAAAATTGTCAGTGCCTTGGGCCTGGCTTTATACAAATAAGATACAACTTCTCATTTGTCTCCCCAAGAAAGCACTACACAAACTTTCCACTTCATTCAATAAAAGGTTTTCATTTTTAACTTTAAATTTCCTTTTGAAAATAAAACAAATACTGCCTTCTAGCACTTGTAAAAACAAACAAACAAATAATAACCAAGAAGAGGCTTACAAATAGGGGTATGGGTAATTCTTTACCTGCTTTGTAGGCAATATAGGAATGAACAATTGCTAAAGTTCCAGGCCATGGAATTGCTTCTTCCTTCTTTAGCATCTGAAAAGATTTTTAGAATTTTACCTTGAGAAAGAGGTACACACATCCTCTATGTTTAACAGCAAGCAATAGCGTCTTGGCTATTGGTAGACAAAATCCAGAAAGGATTTATAGTAGCAGTGTTGTAAAACCCTGGTCTATAATTTCTGGACTACGAAGTTCCAAACATCAGCCTGGGAGAATGATGTTCAAAGGCAGGAAGAATCAAGACACTGGAGCCCAGGCTTAGAAAGAGGCTGGGTCTTGGCTGAGCGTTCTCATGCTCCCCACCCACTCCCAACAGCTAGAACCACCAGCACAGAAGCTGCACGGCAGGATGATGGCAGCAGGCACCGGCAGCTTCGTCCTTGACCTGACACGGGCTGCCTGTCTCAATTTTAGCTTTATATGGCCCTCAAAGACAGCTTGACCAAGAGAAATAAATACCAGTTCCAAATACTAAAGTATAACCTGGACTCTGTGTAGAAAATTATCAGAGGGTCACAAGGCAGCATCAGGAAGGGGAAAGAGAGAAAACTGTCTTACCACACCACAGAGACTGTAGGACGAGGACCAAGATTAAAAGGGGAAAACCAGAATTCTCTGAAATCTGGATTCCAAAGAACTGAGCATGATCCCAACACTTGCAGAGTTACTGAGCTTATTTACTTATTATTTATTCTTTGTCTACTTCCAAAAAAACTTGAGAGGGCTTAAAATAAAATCACAAAGACACAAATACACATGGATAATTGAGAAAAAGAGATAAGAAACCAAACAGAGAAGGAGGGAGGAGGCTAAAACAGTTGCTAATTTAGTTGACCTGTAAACAATGTGGGGCTTAAGGATGCCAACTCCAGCTGACGCAGCTGAAAATCATATTACTTTTGACTACCCCAAAACTTAACTACTACTAGCTACTCTTGACCTGAAACCTTACCAATAATATAAACAGTTGATTAACATACATTTTGTATGTTATATGTATTATACACTGTATTACAATAAAGTAAGCTAGTGAAATCTCTAAAAAATTTTCCAATATATTTACTGAAAAAAATCCAAGTGGACCCATGGATTTCAAACCCATGCTGTTCGAGGGTGAACTGTACAAGTATGCTGCCTTTTAAGTTCATGAAATATCAAAACAGCACTTTATAGTTAGGTCTGATGACAACAGAGGTTAAAAGTAAAACCATTGTGACTTGAATTAATCAACTGGGCACTTTCCTTTAAAGATTTTATTCCCAAAGAAGAGTTTCAAAACTATATACTGGGTTTGAACTATTCTTAGAGAATGAGGCAGAAGGGACTTTTCAAGGCCTTGACTTTCAAAAAGAAGCTAAGTCATTTCAAATACAAGAAAGCAGTTATGGTCTCTCCACCTCAGTAACACAACAGAAAATCTCTGTGGGATAGAAGGCTGTGTGTGTGAGTGCTGTGCCATAAACAGGGAAGAGGTGGCCTGGAGAAGAACAACTGGGAGAGCAAGAGACTCTGCCATTTCCCAGAATTACAGGGGAAAAGAATTCCTGCTGAGGGTGTTGTCTTTCCCCTCAGTTGTCTGAACTACCCATAGTACCTGGTCCTGACATCTGGGACAGATCCACATGCCCTTGGGAATCGTTTTCAGAGGAGGGTCTAAGCAGTCCAGATGATACACACGGGAACACGTGTCGCACATCAGCAACTGGCCACTTTTTCTGCAAACGCTGCAAAAATCCTCATGAATATCACCCTATGAAATTGAGGGGAAAGGTAAGAGAAAGGACAAAAAGGTAGAATTTTAATGTTAAAATGCACATTCTGGATACATATAAATGTTTTAGGACAATTAGCTGCCATGGCATAGTGACTGCCCCTCTAACACGTTATAAGAGTGTTCGAGAAAAATAGAAATTATCAATGGCACAAGCCCCCACTGCTCCATACAGCTCAGATTCCCCAGGTGGGGACAGTATTCTTAATTTTAAGTTAAAGTTTTCAGGAAAGGTCTGTAGTTGCCTAGGCCAAAATTAACTTTACAGATGATAGCTCAGCATTTACTATGTTTTGGTAGAGTCCAACTCACAAATCACAAATTTTACAGGCCTTGAAATTCATTCATCAAAGTTTCCCGATATGATACAAACAATTCTTATTACCTATCATTTTGGAGGGAGTTTAGAAGGATTAGGGAAGAAGAGAGACAAGAAATGGAGTTATACTAAACTCTCGGCTTGCTCAGGGAGAAAAAATACAGTGAAAGTTAGTTTGGAAAAGATTGTCAAGAGCAAATTAAACTCATGAACTTTCTAACCTGACGAATTTAAAAAACCAAAGCAATAGTGGACAATGTTCTCTTAAAATCAGTATTTGGCATTTGCTGTTCAAAGGAACATTATATTCTGGGAGGCTTTATTCCTCCCTAATAAAATACTTCGCCAGCTGGAAAAAGATGAGCAGCCCCAGTCCACTCTGCCTGACTTTCTCCTATCCCTACCAGTGATAGTTTTAGTACTCAGGTAAGTCTGCTGGAGCCCTCTGAACAAAAGGCACCATCAGAAAAAGATCTACTTAAAATTTGGAGAGGACGAGAGAAAAAAAAAAAAGAGCTATTATAGAGGTATTTTTCAGCAAGTCAGTCCCTGGCCTGTTCTCTGCACAGGATTATGCTACTGGTAAGGACACCAGGGAAGGCAAGACTGAAGGGATGTGCCAGAAGTGACCCAGCAAGTTGATGCCAATGTTGCTTTAGATTTCTTGGCCTTTCTGCCAGAAAGCCTAATACAGAAATTCTGCACAGGAAGCAATGATACTAAGAGCAATGCCCAGTCCCTCCTTTCTACAATAGAACCCCTTTACTGCCACCACTGAAGGAACACATCTTCCCATGGACCTATATTTTTCTCTAAAGGACACTTTCTCTGTAATTCACTGTATATCTGGCAGCCTAGAAAATGGGCTGCATAAAGTTGTAAGACACATCATAGTGTGGATGGATTTTAATCTTTCTTAGTAAGAAAATGTGACCTCTCAGCAGTAAAAAAGATACTCAGTATGTGCAGAAATATTACATAAGAATGCAGCCTAAAGTTTAACTTCTAGGCACCAAGAGGTACCATGACTTTCTTCCTTCATTCTTAAAAGCAGGCTGAGGTGTGTCCTTCTCCTCTAGAGGACTAGTCTTTCTTGAACCTTACCTCCAAGTTGTAATTCTGCATCTTTATGAAGTTTATAAAAAATATATGGTTTCCGAGACTATTTTACATAGATAAAATTATCACTGATGAAGTGAACAAGACAAACAGGAATTCTTATTCAGAGGGATTTGTTGGGATAAATAGAGTTCTGCTCACTTTCCTTTGCTCCTAAAGGAGAGAAAACTTCCTATCCTATTTACATATCCTATAGCAGTACCTCCTAATACTTTTGGTGTCAGGATCCCTTTACATTCAAAATACTGAGGACCCCAGAGAGCTTTTGTTTATATCCATTGATAATCACTGTATTAAAAGTTTTAAAACTTTAAATTTTGAAACAATTACAGATTCACAGAAAGTTACAAAAGTAGTATATTGAAAAATTTTAAGACCTAGGAACACACAAGTGCACATTCCACTAGCCATCAGAGTGATGACCTCATGCACTACCTGGAAAACCTCACTGTTCAGTCTTGAGAGAATGAGAGTGAAAATGGAAAATGAAAGTTTGGTATTATTGTGAAAATGGTTTTGATTTTACGACCCCCTGAAAGAGTCTCAGGGATTCCCAGACCACACATGTTGAGAACTACTGCCCATAAAAATGAATATAATATGTCAAGATATTTCATCCAAACAGAACTGGTTCTTTGCCTAAAGAGAACAAAGAAGTCCCATGGATATACTTCACGAGGTCAAAAGGTCTAGGCTTTGGTGACTGACCAAATTATTACCATAAACCAAATGGTAAGTTGAAAGACGACTGTCCCGTGATTCTTTGCCAGGAGCTGAGGACATATGTTTTCAGTAAACATGCTGGCTATGTCAGCTGCAACTTCATCATGTGCTAAAAAATTTTATAATTATGTCAGCTTATCTTCCCTTGTCATAAAAATGATGATAATGGCAACAAGGTACGTCCTAAGGATTAGTGTCGGGCTGGGTCTTGTATTCCTGAGTCCTTCTGGATAGTAATTGATCCCCAGAAATGCCTTCCTCTCAACTGTTACTGCTTAATTAACGTTGCTGGACACTACCCAGCAGTAACATACAGAGCCCTGCATGTTGATTTTAATCACTGCCACTGTTGGGATACTATAAAAGTAGTAGTCAATTAACTTTAAAAAAAAAAAAGAGAGAGAGAGAGAGAGAAAGAAATCCATTCCACTGGGTCTAACTTAGGAAGTTCTGAATATATTTAGTGGTTTTAGAAAATCTTTCTTTCACCTTTAGATTTCTGATGTTTGCATTTTAAGATGAAATCTGGCAGAAGCTTTTAGTTTGTGATTTCTTCTCAGTGAATCCTTTGGGTTTAGGCTCTCAAAGAAAACCATAAATTCTCTCAACCAACCAACCAACCAACCAACCAACCAACAAGAACATTGTGTAGGAAAGAGAATCACGCACAGAACCACCAGATCACCTGTCCCCTAGCATTTGTGCACCATCCTGAGGGAGAGCCCTACCAAGAAGCAAAAGAACTGGCAATCCCTTTGGTAGTACTTCGACTGAGGAAAAGTAAGGATACTCTTTGGTGCCAGCAAACAAGGTTTCTGACAGGGACTCCTAATGCTCATGAACAGGACAGTTAGGAAACCTGTATCAATTACTAATGCCAAAAGTCAGGAAAGCTGGATGAAATGCTTAAACTTTAGAGCAATGATGAGTCTGTAGCCACCAGCTACTTCCAAGAAAGGAAACCTGTCAGAGAACAGAACTCTTCGAAGACCCCAGTCCTCCAAGGATAAATACTTCCTTTGCTGCCGCTGGCATTTTAACTCAGAATGTTCATATGGTATTCTTTTGTTCTTTGGAGAGGGGTTTGACATTATCAAATCCTAAGAACCTTCAAATTCAAGGGACATTTTTACCTCAAGATGGTCAAAGACAAGTTCTGTAATTCATAAAAGAACTGGGAAGACTGCAAAATGAAACTTGGTTTCCCTCCTTAAACATGCTCATCTCGTAATCTGCAGTAAATGGGAGCTTCATCTCTCTAGTTGTTTAGATCAAAAGTGTTGGAGTTATCCTTGAGTATACTCTTTTTCTCATACCCCATATTCAATCCTGCTGGCTCTTCAAAACATATATAGACTTGATCACTTTTCTCCACTCTACTTCTACCATCCTGTTAGGCCAAACCGCCATCATCATCTCTTGTCTGGATATTCAACAGCCCCCTGACTAATCTCTCTGCTTCCATCCTGTTCTTCCTACAGCCCCTTCTCCATATTTCAGACACAGCGGTCCTTTAAAATCCAAGTTGATTTTGCAAACATCTTAAAAATAATAAATGCAGCCAAAAATCATCAAAGGATGCCAAAACCACTGGGTAACAGTTTTCTGGGAAACTGGATATTTATACCAACTCAAAGCTATCTCCACCAGAGGAAAAAGACATATTTACAAGTGGAAAAATTTTATGAAAACTATCTTAAAAGATGAAAGTTAACATCACCAACAATGTGACTGACTGTCATCATGGGCTTCTTCTTGTGACAAACTGTGAAGGATCTATCATCACTTATTTAGTATTCCTAAAAAAAATGCATATCCTCAATCTTTTTTTTTTTGGGCAGCTGGCTGATACAGGGATCACTGAACCCAGGACCTTGGTATTTTCAGCACCACACTCAGACAATCCAAATGGAGAGGAACCCCATACAGTAAATGGCCTATCTTTTAAAAAAATATCAGTTTTATGAAAGAGAAAGGCTGAGAAACTGTTCCAGAATGAAGGAGACTAACAAGACAAACTCATGACAATGTCAAGAGTGACCTTGGATGGATCCTAGAGCAGAAAAAAACAAAGTGTCACAAAGGCAATTATTGGGACAATTGGAGACATCTGAATATGGACTGTATATTAAATACTAATATTTTATCAATGGAAAATTTCCTCAATTTGATAATGCATCATGGATATATTAGAGAATATATTGTTCTTAGGAGATACACACTGAAATATTTTGTGGTGAAAATTCATGAGGTTTGCAACTTCTTTACTGGATCAGCAAAAAAAAATTATGTGTGTAGGGGGGAGAAGCATATGTGGCAAAATGTTAACTGGTGAATCTAGGTGAAGGGCATATATGTGTTCTCTGTACCTACCATTAGTACAATTTTTCTGTGGGTTTGAAAATAAAAATTGAAAAATTACATCACTGTCTATAAACTCGAGTGGTCTCCTGTTTTACTTAGAATAAAAGCCTCAAAGCCCTGCCACCTCTATGGTCTCATCTGCCACCACTCTGGCCTGCTTGCTCTGCCCCAGCTATCCTGGTCTTCTTGCTTTTCTTTCAACATGCCATGCACACTCCCACCTCAGGGCTTGTGCCATACTGTTCCCTCTGTATGGAACACCTTCCCCAGATACTCCCATGGTTCACTCCTTCACTTCCTATCAGAGAGGCTTCCTCTTACCACTCTTCATAAAATAGCAACCTCCTGCCATTACACCCATGCCCTTAATCTGTTCCATTTCTTTTCACAGCACTTATCATTACCTGACGTATTGTATATTCATTTACTACCTGACGTATTGTATATTCATTTACACATCATGTGCCTATTCCCACGGAACATGAACTCCTTGAAGGCAGGGAGCTGGTTTTGTTCCCTTCTGTGTGCCCAGCCTCAAGATTAGCACTTGCTCAGCAGAATAGTGGCTCAGTAAGTATCCACTAAGTGAATTCACTGCTTTGTAAATGTTCATTTAAAAATTTAGAGCACTATTTCATACTCTTGCAGTGTCTGGGTGAAGGGCTACTAAGTATTTGACACTGTTTTGGGGAACTTGTTTCTGATCAATTCGGCTGAAGAGTTGCTCTAAAGAAAAATTTCCACTTCTGGAATTGCACTGAAGCAGCAAACAAAGGCTGCTGGGGAACATATGCCTTGTTCATTTTCCCTACTCCCAAAACACTGATGGCAGAAACCTGTATATCTCTCAACTACATGAACTGATTTCCCCACTCCACCCCTTTTCTAAGAACTCACAGCAGATTGAATTCAGACTCTGAAAATTCTGACCAAACCCTCTCAGGTTATATTTAACATGACTCTCGAGGACATGGACGGGCTGGGGCCCAGAAGAAAGCCACCTTACATGGCATAAAAAGAGCACTGTAGGGTTTATTGCTGCCGCAGGGTTAGTCAAGAAGGTGCAAGTTGATGAGGAGATACACATGTTAACGGTTTCCCGGTTTAAGCTCTCAGCAAGAGAGTACGCTTTTCCCAAGTTACTTACGTCTGTGGAGGTGGGGCTGGGCAGGGACACAGGCTGAACAGGTGCAGGGAAAGTGAATGTGGTCTCTGTCTTTTCATTTTCAGGGGAGTCAGGATGACTGGATGGGGGGGATGTTGGGGTAAGGGCTCCAAACCCCAGCACTGCATTGTATTTTGGAGGACGACCTATATACCGAGAGAAGGGAACAAAAGGGGAACAGGGGGAGGGAAAGAGAGGGGGAAAATGATCTTACATACCTTTGGCCAGTGTTCCTCATTGGCTAGCATGGAAAAGGAAGTGAGGTAGCAGACAGAAGGTTAATACAACAGTCCCAAAGGAAGAAAGAGAAGCAAAGATTTAAATGTCATTAGAAACAACTACATGAATCTCAAGAGAAGGGAGAATAAGAGAGCCTTAGAGAATGACAGAAGGTGCTGGCTTATGTAAAAAAAAAAAAATCCTCTCTCACCTTGGGCAGATTATGAAGTTACTAGACAATTAGAATTTGAGATTTCTAGTGCAAGAACCAAGACATCAGAGCCCATTGGGAGTCAAGGCCATTTATTTTTTCATATCTTCTGCGTACTGTTCTCTAAGATTTCTCCACAATCATCTTGTGCGTTTCCTATTCTCTCCTGTCTATATTTTGGTTATTTCACTGCTTGTAAGGGTGAAGACAGGCAAAGTAAGGAGGCAAGATTCAAGTTAACTATTCTTACCCCTTGCTGCTAGAGCTATTGAGAGATATATCCTGGGAACAGCTGGAACCTAAGAGTGAAAAAGATGCTCTGGGCTTAACAATGAATCCTAAGTATTTCTGGCCCTGGATACCCTCCCTAGTTGATTGAGAGTTGTCTTCTTCCTTTATGCAACAGACATTCTGGTGAACTACACATCTAGGAACTGGAGCTGTTCCAAAGTCTAACGAAAGGCCCTGTCATGAGTACTACTAACTGACAGACCTGACTTGAGCAAGAGCATTTTGAATCAAAGCTAACAGCTACAAAGGATCTATAAATGAGCCCTGTGGGTAAAGTCTAGGTCAACCACTCTTGCCATACCGCATATCAAAGTCACAGTCTTTGTCTTGTAAGGGCCAGGGCATAGCTTCTAAGTTGTGAGTGATCAAAAGTATCTGCCCAGCACACCCAAGGAAAAAGAAAAAGCCAGAGAGGTACAAAACTGACTATTAGCACTGGTATTTGGTATGTAGGATCATGACTTTGCCAACAGTTATAATTTATATTAGGATTATGTACAAGAGTCATGATTCTGTCAGACATTACACAAAAATTACCTCTCCGTGTTAAACTGGCAATGTCTCCAGCACAGAGACAGATTTTACTGGTTTGTCTTTCCTAGGGAATTTAGTATGTCTAGAAGGGGAAGATGAATGTTCTTTGTTTACCCACGGAAGACACATACTAGGCATTGTGAATGCAGGCTTTTATCTTCTGACCTTGGCAAAAGATACCAAGGTTTTCTGGATCATTTAACCCCCGTCCTCTTAGCAGATACTGCCCACCAGCAGGCCAATTAATTGTGACCTCTGCCTGGAGGGCTCCTTTCTTAGAACTGCCTCAAAAGTTATTAAAAAACTGCAGAACATAAAACAAAACAACAAAAAATAACTTACAGTATGGTTACTTTGGCCCAGGAATCAATATAATGTAATGAATTAGGGTTTCCCATCTAAACATTTTTGGCTACTTGAAGAACAGGACTGATGAAATACTAGAAGGGGTTACTAACGGTGAGTATGATATCTCTTTTTGGGGGGATGGGAAGGAAAGAGTATAGTTGTCGTCCTGCCTAAAGCAGACAAAGGGTCAGGATGACCTCCTAAGCTTCCAATAGCTCTGAGACTGTGTATGCATATGCAAAAATTAGTATGCTACTCCACTCACTCTGCAACCTTTCTAGTCTGGAACTATAATTCAGGGACACATTACCACGTGGAGAAGGGGACCTTGGGATGTATTATTGACATCAAAGAACAGTTTCAATACCTTGTTTATGAGCTCAAACCCTGAGTATTGAGACCTATTTAGACCTGCAGGGTGAGAGATGCTGCTGTTTTTTCTTTTCTTTCTTTTTTTTTTTTATTCCTTTTTGTCTTTTTTACTGACTGGTAACGGGATCGCAACCCTTGGTGTCACGCCCGTACCGGGGACCGGCAACGGGATCGCAACCCTCGGTGTTGCGCCCGCACCGCGCTCAGCCAGTGAGCGGGAACCGGTCTCCACATGGGATCCGAACCCTCGGCGGGAGCGCCGCTGCGCTCCCAAGTGGCTCACTCTCCAGTGCGCCACCGGGCCGGCCCAGATGCTGCTGTTTTTTCTGCCCTAAGAGTAAGGTGGAATGCCCATGGGAAGGTCTGAAATATAGGAATGGAGCTCTTTAGGAATTTCTGCTTTGTAGAGCCTGTTTTGACAGTGACCTTTTGTTCTTTCACTGGAGATGCCCTCTTCTCAAAGATTCTAAGTTCTCGGTGTAGCTGTCTCTCTCAGAAACTCAGAGTCATGCTTTGGCCTCACTGGCAGCAGGACGACTTAGACCCTATTAAGAACACCTTGGCAACAGCAGTGCTCTGTTCTGCTTAATGATGCTAAAATGCTTCCTTTTACATGGTGTTCTGTTCACTGTGCTATTCATGGATGGCCTAGTAGGCTTGGAGCAGAATAGTTGCATTAAGCCATTCCCCTGAGTCAGCTCTGCCAGAATCCTAGGAAAGTCAGCTTTTGATTTAGCATACAGAACTCTAATAAATCTCACTCTCTTTCCCCCCCATTCTCAGAAAATAACTACAACAAAACTATTTTCTAAGGACAGAGGAGTTAGGTCCTAGGACAGCAGGAGGGGAGAGGGAGAAGAAACACAACACAGAAAGCAAAAGCAACAGTGAGGGAGAGTTACAAAAAGGTAAAAAGGTATTCACCTCTCTTCCGGGTCCCAGGATGCATTGTGCTGTTTAGGTATGTGACTGCGCTCTTCTTACGCTTTGAGGATTGAAGAAGGAAAGGTGACTGAATGAATAGCATCTAATATTGGCACAAGCTAAAGATCAAGCACAACATGCCTGTCAACATGCCAACTAGTTAGTGCTAATCATCCTCAATTCTCAGTGATAAAGAGTTTTATTGTATTTGGCTCTCAGAGAATATTCCAGAACAGTCTGCCTCTGCTTCAGATGACAGCTATGTTGAAGTCAGGATGAAATAAAATTTTAAGGTAGGTTTGTATCTGCTCAGATTTAGAAAAAACAACAACTAAGTGGTAAGCAGTGAATAATAAAAAGGAAATAATATAATGAGCCAGAGAATAGTCCATCACTTCACAGACTGGCCAAGTACAATCAGGGTGCTGCTCTTAAGCAGATTTTCAGATGGCAGGTGCTGAACAAGTCATAAATAAAACTGGAATAGTAAAGGAAGGGCCAAGTGCTGGCCAGGAATACCTCCGGCTCAAAGACTGCTCCACTATATACTGGATTTGCTGTCGTTCTTCTTTTTCGCTCTTGCCTTTTGCTTTGGATTTCTTGGGAAAAGAAAAGGTTTATGGTTAGAAGAGATATATAAAGAACCTAAAAAACTTAACTTCATTTTTTATCAATTGGTTTCTCATAACAAATCAGCAACAGGGGGCAAGTCTCAGTTTCACTGCAGCCTCAACAGAGGCAAGCACACTACTGGAAGCAAATATGTAGGACCATCTACCCTCACTTCTCAGAAAGCAAGACCACACTACCGCACAGTACTACTCTCTGTGATTGAGACTTAACAGGAGACAATATGTGTAAACAAGCTTTCTGATTTATTTTTAGATGTCTGTTTATATAGGTCTGGATGAACATTACCCATAGACTTAGACTGAGTAACCAAAGTTCATCATTCCTAAACTAAATAACCAGGACAGGTAGAGCTTTGTAAATGTTCTTAAGATTCTTATAACCTAGAGTAAATGAAAAATACAAAGACTTGTCAGAGGAGCACTTGCTAATTCATGCTGCCAGAAAAAAAAACGGTTCCCCTAAAGTGAACAGAAGTCCCCTTAATTCAGGCAATTGGGGAGGTTTTCCCAGAACATAGTGTGGACAATGATAGGAAGGGAAGGGCCTGAACATTAGACAGAGGGAAGCCAATTTTTTCCCCTAAAGGAAATAAAAGTCTACACTCATTGAATCATACTCTGTTTGTGTTCCAATTTTCTATTCTAGGAATTCACTCAAACACCATATTCAGGAGCAGAGCTATGGGTCAGCAAGAAGGCAGTGCCAAGAATATCTTCTCTTACCTTCTAGATGGTCATGTGTTACCAGCCCTAGAGACACCATGAAGGCAAGTTTCTGTACCAGAGAAACAAAAGAACAATACACTTCAGTCTAGGTTCTCACAGAGCCAACTGCAGGTTCCTAGTTAGACACTAAGGAAAGCCAGCCCAATGGCCTAGTCTTTTGAAGGGGGCTGGATTTGGATCAACCAAAAGGAGGCATCCTCCTCTCTTAGCAACTATGGAACCACTCTAGAGGCTTTCTGGTCTAACAGCGCCAAAAGAGAAGGACGGAGACCTACATCTTCTACTTTCTCAATGATAGAAATCAGCATCTTGAGTGACCTTAGTTTTCTACCCATAAACATCCTCTTAAAGGGGAAAGGATTGCATACTCGAAAAGTGTGCACGGGGTTTCAAAGAACCTCCCATACAGCAAGCTCCAAATTCCAAGTACTTCGCTTGTCATGACTGGGTCAGGGTATCTTACATTTTTACTGCCACTGATGGGACAATGCTAACTCAAAGTTAAATGATTTTTAAGAATGATAGTATGTGGTTCTGTTTAATAATATGATTTTTCAATCAAACATGGACCTAAAAATTACAGAGTGATTTCTCTCTGACAACCACCTTTAGGACTCCATCAGAAGCTGGGTTGATTAGAATACTGACCCCCACCTGACCCCTGGAATGTTAAGATACTTCAAGCTGGAGAGAGTAACACATTGATTTCTATTCCTCTCTTTGGTTGCATGTGGTCTGAAAAGTACGTCTTCATTTTCTGTTGTACAGTGGTACATGTCATTTCTAAATATGCCAAATAATACACCAATTTATTTCTTTGATGAATAAAGAACATCATCAGTTCTTAGGAGACATACTCCTGTAGAGTTATTTACGCCATGGTTTGGTCTTTAAAAATCCTGACATCTTATCCTCAACATTAAATACTATGATACTTTTGCCTGAAGTGATAGGTTCACCCTATTCAAGACATATTCCTTGAGCAAGCCACTTGAGAACACAGAAATGTTCTTTACTGGTATCTTCAGAGTCCTGAAGAAATGTTTTTATTTTATTTCTTATTTAGAAACTTGGGCGAGCACCTATCCCCTTGACAGCCAGGGTACTTTGGGTTTTTTTTTTTTTTTTTTTTTCAGATGACAGCTATGTTGAAGTCAGA